AACCTAATGTGACCCTAATCTAGTGTGACCCTAACCTAATGTGACCCTAATCTAGTGTGACATTAAACTAATGTGACCCTAATCTAATGTGACCCTAATCTAGTGTTACCCTAATCTAGTGTGACCTACTACTGTGTGACCCTAACCTAATGTGACCTATTACTGTGTGACCCTAACCTAATGTGACCCTTACCTAATGTGACCCTAACCTAATGTGACCCTAATCTAGTGTGACATTAAACTAATGTGACCCTAATCTAATGTGACCCTAATCTAGTGTTACCCTAATCTAGTGTGACCTACTACTGTGTGACCCTAACCTAATGTGACCCTAACCTAATGCGACCCTAACCTAATGTGACCCTAACCTAATGTGACCCTAACCTAATGCGACCCTAACCTAATGTGACCCTAATCAAGTGTGACCTAACCTAATGTGACCTGCTACTGTGTGACCCTAATCTAGTGTGACCTACTACTGTGTGACCCTAACCTAATGCGACCCTAACCTAATGCGACCCTAATCTAGTGTGACCCTAATCTAGTGTGACCCTAACCTAATGTGACCTGCTACTGTGTGACCCTAATCTAGTGTGACCTGCTACTGTGTGACCCTAACCTAATGTGACCCTAATCTAATGTGACCCTAACCTAATGTGACCCTAATCTAGTGTGACCTACTACTGTGTGACCCTAACCTAATGTGACCCTAACCTAATGTGACCCTAATCTAGTGTTATCCGAATCTAGTGCGACCTACTACTGTGTCACCCTAACCTAATGTGACCCTAATCTAATGTGACCCTAATCTAATGTGACCCTAATCTAATGTGACCCTAACCTAATGTGACCCTAATCTGTGACCCTTACCTAATGTGACCCTAACCTAATGTGACCCTAATCTAGTGTGACCCTAACCTAATGTGACCCTAATCTAGTGTGACATTAAACTAATGTGACCCTAATCTAATGTGACCCTAATCTAGTGTTACCCTAATCTAGTGTGACCTACTACTGTGTGACCCTAACCTAATGTGACCTATTACTGTGTGACCCTAACCTAATGTGACCCTTACCTAATGTGACCCTAACCTAATGTGACCCTAATCTAGTTTGACCCTAACCTAATGTGACCCTAATCTAGTGTGACATTAAACTAATGTGACCCTAATCTAATGTGACCCTAATCTAGTGTTACCCTAATCTAGTGTGACCTACTACTGTGTGACCCTAACCTAATGTGACCCTAACCTAATGCGACCCTAACCTAATGTGACCCTAACCTAATGTGACCCTAACCTAATGCGACCCTAACCTAATGTGACCCTAATCAAGTGTGACCTAACCTAATGTGACCTGCTACTGTGTGACCCTAATCTAGTGTGACCTACTACTGTGTGACCCTAACCTAATGCGACCCTAACCTAATGCGACCCTAATCTAGTGTGACCCTAATCTAGTGTGACCCTAACCTAATGTGACCTGCTACTGTGTGACCCTAATCTAGTGTGACCTGCTACTGTGTGACCCTAACCTAATGTGACCCTAATCTAATGTGACCCTAACCTAATGTGACCCTAATCTAGTGTGACCTACTACTGTGTGACCCTAACCTAATGTGACCCTAACCTAATGTGACCCTAATCTAGTGTTATCCGAATCTAGTGCGACCTACTACTGTGTCACCCTAACCTAATGTGACCCTAATCTAATGTGACCCTAACCTAATGTGACCCTAATCTAATGTGACCCTAATCTAATGTGACCCTAACCTAATGTGACCCTAATCTAGTGTGACATACTCTTGAATGACCACTTACCCTGGTGTCACCCTACCCTGGTGTCACCCTACTCTAGTGTCACCCTACTCTAGTGTCACCCTGCCCTTGTGTCACCCTACCCTGGTGTCACCCTACCCTAGTGTCACCCTACTCTAGTGTTACCCTGCCCTTGTGTCACCCTACCCTGGTGTCACCCTACTTTTCTCCGTCTACACAAATCATTAGCTAGAACAAACACATTAAAATGTATGTTTTAAAACATATAAACATACACAATGTTACAGCCAAAAATAAAACACGCTGTAAACTTGATTAATTACCTTATTAACAAGGCAATAAAAATACAAGCGGTCAATAAAAACAACACCGGCCAAAATAAACCGAAGTCAATGAGTTTCAACTTACCACTTCTATCACCGATCACGAAAATAGCCGTGATACGATAAAAATACAAGCGGTCAATAAAAACAACACCGGCCAAAATAAACCGAAGCCAATGAGTTTCAACTTACCACTTCAGTCACCCAAACATGAAAATAGCCGTGATGATACTGGGCGTTACACGGGAGATTTCATCCTAAAACCTACACATGGATCATGGTCTGCCCCCACTACAACAAATCTAGCGCTACTGTCCGTGCTATCGAGGGACTAAGTGATGGGGGGGGGGGGGTGAACTGATATGGTCAATACCTAACCAGTACAACACGGTGTAATCAACATATGACTGTACAATACAGGCAACAAATCGTGCTGTACTCAAACACACATAAGGTATACACACATGTACATAACAAATAAATCCCTGCAAGACCACATATCAAGTGAATCATCCCCCATCCACCCCACCCCCACACGTACTGTGGTTTACATCTGGGTATTTCATCTAAAGCTGGCAATCATTTTTTTTTCGCACTGTTGTGTCACCAGCTGGGATGAGCAGTTGAGAACACACACACACACGCACACGCACACAAGCACACACACACACACGCACACACACACTCGCCTGTTACACCCCCGCCCCTCCCACCACCCTGGCGGTGAGATAGACGTACTTTACACTTTTACTAAACAGACAACTTCTGTCAGTCTACGTGGGATCACACCAACCCTATCCTTATTTGAATACACGTTTTTCAACCAATGTACACTCAAACGATTTAGTTTAAAAAATTACGTATTTATGTATCGTTTGTATTTGTATCGATACAATTAAAAGCTGTCATGTGTGTTTTTCTAAACTATAATATGGGAGGTAACTAAAGAAATTGATCCTCAAGAGAGGGGAGTTATGGGTCCTAGTTGTACACGGATAAAAGAAACTTGGATGAACATTTTTTCATACATACTAGATTCTAACAGTTTAAAATAGTCACTCTATTAGAGTGGAAAGGAATGCTGGGATATGTGATGTACCAAGGTCCATTAATGCCACAATAATGGAATTTTCTTAGAAAATGGGAGTGAACTAGCTGTTAGATAACTAGATAACACAATACAAATATGACTTGCAAACATGAACACTAACCTTAACATAGCCATAACCCTAACCTTAAACCATAACACTAAACCTGAGATTACAATCCTACTAGCAACCTTGACTATTGTTGGACATCTATAATACTGATACTCTAGAAGTGGCTAAGACAACATGAATGGGCTAGAAGTTGTTTTAACTATTTATAATATTGGGTTATTTATATAGAAAAAAAGTCACAGTGGTTTTGTTATACAGAGCAGAGACAAGCAGAGTCTCTAAGACCTGCATAGACAAGATACAGACCTTCATTTACAAATGTCTCAAACATTCTAAAATTGAGGTGGCAGGACAACGTGCCTAACATAGACCTATGGAGATTGATAAAGCAGGAGCCAATGACAGTGCAATTAAGAAGGAGGAAGTGGCGATGGGTGGGACACACACTGCAAAAGGCTCACTCAAACTTAACACGCCAGGCACTGGAGTGGAACCTCCAGGGAAGGTGAAGAGGGTGTCCAAGACAGACCTGGAGGTGGTCTTTTGAATTAACTGAGGACAGCAGGGAGGCTGCTAAATCAACAGCCGGGGACCTGACAAAATGAAAGGTAGTGGTAGAGGTCGATTGTTCCACACAGACTAAACAGGATTAAATAATATGGAAAGAGGTGGCATAGAGCTATAAAATTTATTTTTTATTCCAAAAATCAAATGATTTGTATAATAAATTATCCGTTGTTTGGCGAGGAGGAGCTTCCACATAAAGTTTTGACATTATGATTAGCTTCATCATGTCATGAGATTATCATTATATGATGAAGGAGAATGACAACATTTTTTTTTTCATGTTATACAAATGAAAATTAATAATTTACTGGTCCCAGTAGCCTTTAATTACTTATTTTTAAGAACTATTTAGTCTCAAGTTTGAAGCGGGGTTCAAGTCAGTGGAACGTCCCTGAGTCCACCCAGCTTTGATGGGTACCTAAGTCACGTTAGGGAAAGTAAAGACAGCTGGGCATAGTGTTTACCACACTATCCCTTCATATGCTGAGATCAAGAAACATATAAACTCTACTTCATCTGCCAATGGATCGCTAGGTCTAAAGTTTTAGACTAAAGAGGAGTTTTATTTTTTTTAAATACATCTCACATAGTCTAACACTAACAATAGGGTCTACTATAGAGTTCCAATGTTTAAGAATCTAAATATTAACAATTTTTTAATAGTAAAAAAGGAGTAAAAAATGACAGATTATTCTAGATTCTAGATTTAGATTTTTTTTTCTACTGACCTGAAAATGTCTAGACTAAAACTAAACTAAACGCATAGCCTACGTGTAAATTAACTATAGATCTATATAATCTATAATCTATATATAAACAGTTGTCACACTCTGGCTTTATAAATATTAATGTAGATCTATAGGCCTAAGTGAATAGCCTTCACTAACAATTTTACTCATTTTACAGTAGGCTTAATTTTAATTGATTGACACAGTAAGTGAATACTAACTTAGACTACTACTTAATAATAACTTCAATAAGACTTAGGATTAGGCCCTATCTTAACTAATAACTATCTACTAGATCTATAGTTAATTTTTAGTTATCAGTTATATACTTGATTACTTATACTCATACTCAGTATAATATACTGAACTTATAATCTAGTAGTTATAGAATATAGATCTAGATAGGGCCTAGAGCTTTTATTTTTTACTTTTAGTGCTACTTACCACAACCAGTCGACCCTACTACGTTACTTGACTTAGTCCAATTCTCAGACTGAAGTGATAGCTTGGGCTTTGATATGCTGGTAATATTGAATAAATGCTCTTCCTCGCGCACAGCTGCTGATGTTGACAAGGAAGCAGTGGGTATGTTACCCGCGTTATTGATAGATCTAGGTTCCGCAGTAGTTACACCCGACAAATTCAGCAGTACTTTATCTCCTACTCCAGAGTCACTAAGATCAAGGAGAGACTCATCACTATCTCCATCGCTTATATTTTCACATTTATTTTGTTTTGAATTTGATACATCTTTTTGATTTTTGTTTATTTTTCCGTGCACATCATTATCATATCCCTGGACCTGGTCTACTTTACTGATTTTGCTAACATCCATTTTGGCGACATGTCACGTGACAAAAGCTATTTTTACTTTTGATGCAAACGAAAACCAGAATCACCCAAGCTTGATTATTTATTTAATGTTTCAAAAGTTGAAAAGATCAACTGTTTATCTTTTTCTCTAACCAGAACAATGGACTGCTCTTTTCAAATTACTGTATTCACTAGATTCTACTATTTTAAGCTGTTATTTCAATAAATAGGCATACAATATTGTTCTAGGTCCACTGTTTACCGAAAGGAAGGTCGCAACGCACTCTATAAAGAAGTCAAAGGTTAAAGGTCCACTAGAACACTCTTCAGTTCTTACGTTCTTCTGCTATGTCATTGCACTTCAGTGGATGCGATTTTGTTACAGTTTGACATCTAGTCTAGATTCTAGATCCTCTAGTTCAAGATTTACACAAAGATTCTATATCAAGAAATCTAATCTACATGGTTTAGGCCTAGATCTAGATCTTAATTTTATTTATAATGTACAACTATAAAATAGAAGATTTACGATCAAAGGAGTTCCCACAACTGCAGAAAGGTAGAAGAGTGGATTTTTAAATTTTTAAAAATATGTTTACTTTTAGATTTAGAATTTAACTAGCCTAGAATACTAGAATCTAGATCTAGATTATAATTAGATCTAGAATATAGATCACATTACTACAATCTCACACTATGACTATTTACTAGATCTACCACTTTAAACTTTTAGATCTAGATTCTAGATCTAGAAGAATGCTTCTGAAATTATTTCAGGTGCTGTTTATGTTGATCATGCCGGTGCCACACTGTTCAGCAGTTCTCAGATTGAGGCAGTACAGAAAGATTTGCTGTCCACTTTATATGGCAACCCACACAGCCACAATGCTTCAAGCAAGTTGGCAACAGATACAATAGATCAGATTAGATACAGGTAAGATATTCATAAACATTAAACAACATATCTTTAGTCATGAATCATCATCTTTTCCTGCTCGTGCCCAAGACATATGGGGCAGATGAAGTAGAGTTCATCTGTTTCAGAGACCTCAGCATATAAAGGGATAATGTGGTCAGCACTATGCCCAGCTGTCTTTGCTTGGTTGACTCAGAGACATTCTCTTGACTTGAACCCGGATTTAAACTTGAGAATTTAATGTTAACAGTCGATCTCTCTACTGCTAGACCACACCGTCCCAATGGTCATGAATAGCAAGATTAAAGATGATTTTAAAAATTTAATAAATAATCATTAGTTCCTGGATGGGCACCTACAGTAGGTAACTAGATAATAGAAAGGGAGTTAATAATCAACTGCTATTTTGGATGCTGACAAGACAACTCGAACTTCCTCCAGTGGTAACCCATTATTCTTTAGTCATCATGTCAGTAATTTTATAGATTAGACTAGCTCTGCCTCTATGTTTAATAGATTAACTATATATATATATATATATATATATTTATATATTGTCCAACTTAGTCTTCTTCCAGGACCCATGAAATCCTAAACTATAAAAAATAAACAAGTGAAGTTGTAGCTAGGTTTTGGTTTTTGTAAAATTCCTACTAACATAAACTGTGCGTTATTTTTTCTATCAGATTTTAAAATTGCTTGTCTTAACTGCTTATGATTGTATATATTTATAAGGCTGCTGAAGTTTTTCAACACAAACCATGAGGAATACAGTCTTATTTTCACTTCAGGCTGCACTGCATCATTGAAACTAATTGCAGAGAGTTTTACTTTTAACAATGGTAAATATGGACTTAAATCATTCATTGTATTTTAAGAGCGTTATTCTATTTTACTAAAAAGTCAAGTATAATAACTTATATATAATAACTTATATAAGTTGCAATAATTTTTTAATTTAAATGTGATAAAATCTTGAGAAGTTAATGGAATCTTGTGTGATTATAATTACTCTTGAATAACAAACATATTGTTTTAATTTAGGAGCGTCTACAAGTGCTGAAAACTCTGGAGCTTTCTGCTACCTCGAAGACAGCCATACCTCTGTGCAGGGAATGAGAGAGGTAGTCGCCAACAGGTGTTCACAAGTAGTGTGTCTAGATGATCAGGAACTGATCACTGCTCTCAACAGTCCCACACCTGATCCAGTCTCACATAAACCACCACAGCTCGCCCATGACAAGTCTACTCCTGTTGATTCTGACAAATACCTAGCTACAAATCCACAATCCCTCGTTGCTTTTCCGGCCCAATCAAATTTTTCTGGCAAGAGATATCCACTAAGTTGGATAAAGCAAATACAGGAAAAGGGCATAACTCTACCTGGTAAAAGGTGGGTAACTCTTATTTCAAAAGAAAAGTTGTGTGAGCTATTTTGAATATTTTTCCAATTGCCTAATATTCAAGTTTAGTGTTAAAGTGAAGAACAGATTTCCAAAACTTATTAATGAAAAAAAAAAAGAATTCTATATTTGTATAATTTGAAACTTGTTAAATAATGTTTTGTACAACCAGTTTAAAAACATAATTGACACTTCAAAATGTTATAGAAGCAATTTCTCCTAATAAGTAAGGACATGCAAAACTTAAAACATACCTTAAATGTAAGCAAGATAAATGATGTGGCTAATACAACAACCTTGGAAATTTTAGTTTAGCCACAATCAAGAAATTATATATATATATGTATATATATATATATATATATATATATATATATATATATATATATATATATTACATTTTACATTTATTTTAATTTCCCTATATCTTGAAGTGTCTGCTTACCGTAGGTTATATTTTTACATCACGACAATGCTACCATGCTACCAACTCCTCAGTGAAGCTCACATATAACATGGCTTTATAATTCTATCAGCTCAACCAACACCGCAGTGAAGCTCACATATAACATGGCTTTATAATTCTATCAGCTCGGCAGCAGGTGAGAAGTGGTTTGTACTGCTGGACGCTGCCAGCCTGGTCAGTACCAGCAGGCTCAACTTAGGGGAAGTGCAGCCAGATTTTGTCACAGTTTCATTCTACAAAATTTTTGGCTACCCAACTGGTCTAGGTACTGTAACGTAGATTGTCTTTCTGCATGTCGCTAAAATATGTTAATGCTGCTAAGCTGCTGTCTTCATGACACACATACTTTATTTAGCATCAGCCCTTCCTCGCTTAAGGTGTGAATTTAGCCTATATAAGTAGTTGTTAAGAATCTATCAACAGGGCGGACATTGCTTGTATTACTAACCAGAATTGTTTAAGACACTCTTAGATAAATGACTTTTATTTCACTGTCTGGGACAAGAGAAAGTTACACAATATTACAGAAATTAACTGATGTTTACTATAGAAAAGAAATTGTCTATATCAACACATGCACTTATTACAATCTGATTATCGTGTCTTGTTTGTATTAAAGCTTTGAAACAGGCTGAAAGAGTGAAATTTTTCACATTTTTATATTAAGTTTTTATGCCCACACTTATTTTTATAATTACCCTATTTTTTATTCCATATTTAAAACTTCTAATAATTTCACTGTAACATTGTTTAGATTGATCTAATACCAAAGAATACTAAGTTTGTTTTGGTTTGATTAGACAGGCATTGAAACAATACATTTTTACATGCCAAACTTTATTGCCCTGGTCAGGTGCACTATTGGTTCACAAAAGAGCTTGGGGCACCCTGAGGAAATGTTACTTTGGTGGTGGAACTGTGGCGGTCAGCACAGCAAAGGAAAGATTTCACGTTTTCAGAGAGGCCTTACATGACAGGTGAGATGGTGGTGTTTTTTTTTTATATTGTTTTACTTAAGTGAATACATGTTGTGTTCTTTTCAAATATTGAAGTGCACATTTATCAATATGGCATTGCTAGTTTAAGTAAAATTTATGTATTGTAAATTTGTACAAAACCTTGCTTGAAAATATTTTGAGCAAAGTTTTTTTTTAATCTGTATCTTTTTATTCATAAATTTACAGATTAAAAAGGAAAAGAAAATATTACCTTTTCTGTTGAAAACATCTTTTTTAAATGCATATATTATTCTTTTTTTAAAAATAAATACTTTATAATTTATGATAAATAAATGTAAAATATTCCAGGTTTGAAGATGGAACAATACCTTTTTTGAGCATTATTAGCTTGCGACATGGCTTGGATACTGTACAAAAACTGGCTGGTCTGTTGTCATTCCTCATTGTTTAGCTAAACTTTAAAAGTTATTTATTTTTATTAAAAAAGTAACTAATTTAAAAAAAAAAGTTATTCTGATTATTGATATTAAATATTGTCCAACTTCTTATTAAATATATAAATAATATTCAAGTCATTTTATTGTAAAGTTAAGATATACTTTTTTCCTTTATTAACTTTGTTTCCTAGGTGGGATGGACAATGTTTCTGAGCATGTTTTTGCAGTCACCCAGTATTTCCATAGCAATCTTCAAAAGCTACATCACAACAATGGTCAACCTTTGGCCCAAATATATGGTGATCTAAGTTTTGACAGTCCTAAAGGTCAAGGTGGAATTGTCACCTTCAACCTTCTGAGAGCTGATGGGAAATTTATTGGTTTTGCAGAGGTAGGCATGGTCTCTATATTCTGAGTTACAAGACAGGCTTTGATGAAACAGAACTTAATGCTATTGTTAATGATAAATTCAGTATCTATTCTTGGTTTTAATTGTTTCTTAAATAAATAAAAACAGTACACTTCTGACATGACAAGGGACATAACTACATTGCAGCCACTGACATATCTAAGAAAAGATTTGTATTAATCAAGTTGGTGATGGTGCTTGACAAGTTAAAATTTTGACAAATAAAAGCATCACTTCCTTTACAAGACTATATTACCCTTGCAGTTACTGACTAAACAAAGATTTAGACTATAGTAAGTAAGTAGAAAGTTCCCTTTCAAACTTGATGGTCTCTGGGGCAAGTGAAGTAGAGTTCACCTGTTTCTGTGACCTTGGTATATGAAGAGATAGTGTGGTCAGTACTATTAGTACTATGCCCAAAACGGGGTGGACTCCGTGATGTACTATTGACTTGAACACAGATTCAAACTCAGAACTTTAGGGTTAGAAGCCTACTGCAAGGCCCTCCCCCCATTTAAAGTATAACTAGTCATCTAACTATCACAACTCTTTTTGTCAAACTCTTCCCCAATCCCTATACATTTTCTTCTGTTTTAATGGTTTCTAACACCCTAATTAAATTATAATAAAATAAACTATGGTTAACTGTTACAAAATGAAATTGTTCGAGATATTTTCACTGTTCCACTTTTATATTACAATCGAAACACCCAGGATTAAATATGTAACCAAAATAAGATTGTAAAACACAGCTACATTCCATATCTTTGATACAGTTTTTTTCCTGCCATTAGGTGGATAAATTTGTTCCCCTATCATTAGGTGGATAAATTTGTTTCCCCTGCCATTAGGTGGATAAATTTGTTTCCCTGCCATTAGGTGGATAAATTTGTTTCCCTGCCATTAGGTGGATAAATTTGTTTCCCTGTCATTAGGTGGATAAATTTGTTTCACCCATTAGGTGGATAAATTTGTTTCACCCATTAGGTGGATAAATTTGTTTCCCTGCCATTAGGTGGATAAATTTGTTTCCCTGTCATTAGGTGGATAAATTTGTTTCCCTGTCATTAGGTGGATAAATTTGTTTCACCCATTAGGTGGATAAATTTGTTTCACCCATTAGGTGGATAAATTTGTTTCCCTGTCATTAGGTGGATAAATTTGTTTCCCTGTCATTAGGTGGATAAATTTGTTTCACCCATTAGGTGGATAAATTTGTTTCACCCATTAGGTGGATAAATTTGTTTCCCTATCATTAGGTAGATAAATTTGTTTCCCTGTCATTAGGTGGATAAGTTTGCCCAGCTCCATGATGTCCATCTGCGTACTGGATGTTTCTGTAACATTGGTGCCTGCCAGAAACACCTGAACTTATCCGCTCAACTCATCAAAGACAACTTTGCAGTGAGTACTTTAGTTACCTTGATGTTTTTTCTGTTTTAATAATTTAATCCAGCACACACAATTTTTAATTTTCTTTGCCTTATGATTGATGTTTGTATTATTCTGGAGTGATTTTAACATTCTACTCATTATCTCCTAAAAATTTAAACTAAATGCTAATCTTTCACTGATATTAAACCAATGTTCGTTTTTAGAAGTTGGGCTATTCCTAATTTTTACTCTAAGTTAATTTAGCTACTATTCATTTGTAAATGCTATGCACAATTAAAGGACTTTAATCCCATTACTTCACAGGATAATTTTATAGATCACATATCTAGTGTCTTGTGTGTTTCCTTATCTTTAAATACTGTAATGTTAAGCTGTAGGACCCTATGTTTATAAAATTTGTATGAAACCTTTAATTATCACAATATAATAGCAAGGCAGGTCATGCCTTCTTGTGTTATTCCTTATGTTTTGTAAGAGCTATATTTTTATAAAAATTTTATACAAACTTCAAATACCACAATATAATAGAACCTTTAAACTTTCACCAAGGCATGTCATGCGTTGTGTTGTTCCTTACTCTTAGTAAGAGCTGTATGTTTATAAAACTTGTATACAAACTTTAAATACCACAATATAATACAATCTTTAAACCTCCACCAAGGCAGGTCAAGTCTTCTTGTGTTGTTCCTTACCTTTAGAGCTGTATGTTTATAAAAAATGTATACAAACTTTAAATACCACAATATAATACAATCTTTAAACCTCCACCAAGGCAGGTCATGTCTTCTTGTGTTGTTCCTTATCTTTAGTAAGAGCTGTATGTTTATAAAACATGTATACAAACTTTAAATACCACAATATAATACAATCTTTAAACCTCCACCAAGGCAGGTCTTGCCTTTTTGTATTGTTCCTTACCTTTAGATCTATATGTTTATAAAACTTGTATACAAACTTGAAATACCACAATATAATACAATCTTTAAACTTTCACCAAGGCAGGTCTTGCCTTTTTGTATTGTTCCTTACCTTTAGATCTATATGTTTATAAAACTTGTATACAAACTTGAAATACCACAATATAATACAATCTTTAAACTTTCACCAAGGCAGGTCACGTCTGTGGAGACAACATGGACTTGATCAATGGACGACCAACTGGGGCGGTCAGAATCTCATTTGGGTACATGTCCACCATCTCAGACGCCCGCGTATGCCTGCGCTTTATTGCTGACAGTTTCCTAGAGAACCCCACCCCAATCCCACAATTCCCTGACCCTGTGTGGTACAGGAAAAATGAAACAGCTGATGTTGGTCTGAATGAATCCCAACATTCCACCAAAATAATCAAAGATGAAAGTAAGTCATGCTTTGTTAAATTTGATTGAATACATTTTGTTTTTAAATTCAAGGACTAGTTTTACTATTAATTTTCCTATTCCATATAAATTAAATTACTAGTACTAGAATACATCACTTGTGTTTTGAGATCATGAACAAATGAACCCAGAAATTGTATATCCACTTAAATTAATGCCTAATTCTTGTCGAAAATTGTTTCTCTTTTTAAACTTGATCCCTTTTAACGCTTTTAAATCAATTCAAAATTAACTTTTTCATAATGAAGTTTTCTTCCACATTTATTTTAAGCAATTTGATTTTCCCAATTGTTAATTAACTGAAACTCTTAGTTTAAATACATGACTTGATTTTCCAGAAATTCATGCAGAAAAAAGTTTCCACAATCAAGAGGAGACAACTGCAGCCAGTGTATCAAAATCTTGCAATGAAAAAGTCAGAAAACTCACTGATATATTTCTGTATCCAGTCAAGTCATGTGGGGCATTTAGAGTTAGTACAGTCTATTTTTAGCCTTTTTTTTCATTACATTAATATGATATTTTGTATTAAAAAACAGTTTTGTTGTGACAAATTTCTAAATGACATTTTTGACAGGTGAGTGATTGGGAAATGGGAAGCAAAGGACTTCTGTATGACAGAGAGTGGGTGTTGGTCAGTGACACTGGAGTGACCATTGGTCAGAAGAGAGAGCCAAGGATTTGTCTATTGAAGCCTTATATAGATTTAGACAGCAGGAAACTTATTTTGTCTTTCCCAGGTAGTTTTCATTTTAACCTTGCAACCATTGTTATCTCATGTTTGTACAATTAAACCATAGGTGGATGGTGTGGTCAAACGGTTCAGCATTTGACTGCTAACCAGTAAGTCTCTAGTTTGGATCCTATTCTAGAGTTCATAGGATGTCCCTGTGTCCACCCAGCTCTGATGGGTTCCAAACTCACATTAGGGAAAATAAAGGCTGCTTGGCATAGAGCTGATAGCATTATCCCTTCATATGCCATGATCACTAAAACAGATAAACTCAACTCCACCTTTCCCATGAACCCGTAAGGTTTTTAAAGTACTTTGCTTACTTTTTACATTTAAAAAAATGGGTTGCATAATACTTTCATTTAAATTAGTGTTTACAAGGACACTGCTACATCTCCACTGTTTTGAGGATTCTGTTGTTTATTCTCTAATAACCTGTGCCCTTTATCTGTGTTTAACAATTTGTCTTATTTCATTATCAAATCATGTTAATTTCAAGTCTCTTCTTGAAAATGCAAATTTTCTTGCCAATCTTTAAAAAAGCTGTTAATTGATGTTATTGCTTTCAATAAAAAAAACTTGAGACACATTTTCTAAAAAACTGATGTAGTTTAATTATTCTTTAAAATGTTATTTTTTTTTATTATAGAACTTGTCTTGTTATAAGACATTTTTTTTTGTACCCTAGATGCGTCACCATTTGAACTGCCTCTAGACCAAGAAGAAGATTTTGATGCTATGGCTAGTCTGTGTACCAACAAAGTGTGTGGGGACAGGTCAGGAAAATCTTTGTCATCACTTCTATATTGCTAACTTTCAAGGAAAACTATTAACATAATACAAAATACTTGTTTCATGCTGATTAAAACATATTTTGGTATTTAGAATAACCATAAGTGCTTTTTTCATTGTTTAGGGTGAACACATATGACTGTGGAGATGCTGTTTCTGATTGGTTGAGTGACATCTTCCAGATGCCTGGTGTCAGGTTGTTGAGACAGCAAAGTGACGACACGAGAAAAAGTAACTTAAAGGACAACACAGTCACTGAGGGTCAGCTGGTTTTCTAATTAGGCTAATTAATCAATTTTGCATGCTAATTTCACATTTAACACAAAATTACTTCCATTTAGTTATAATTATAATTTAAATGTTACTATTTGAATAATAAGCCTACAATTTACATGAGCTATTAGATGTTAGTATCAGAAATTGTTACTTTTTAAATTTAATTTCATCTTATAAACTACATAAGATTGACTATGTTGACTTTGAATGAGCAGAGTTCTCCCTCTTTAAACGTCTATTTCAACTCACTTCATTTAACAATATCTTTGGGCCCCTAGCTACTACAGATAAATTTTCTTTTCAAGATCCAGACAAACCAAAGTTGTCCATGGCAAATGAATCTCAGCTGTTGCTTCTAAGTAGGGTTAGTGTTAGAGAGCTGCAGAAGAAGATGGTGGAGATTGTAGATGTGGATGATGCTCAGGACACTAAAATGCCCACAGCTCCTGCAGATATTTGTAAGTTTCTACGGCAGTATAAGTATTTATGTATACATATATATATATATATATATATATATATATATATATATATATATATATATATATATATATATATATATATTATATTTATATGTTCATGTTGTTTTCTTTAATATTTACACAATTATTGTTGATATGTACACTGACCCACTTAGATTAAAGTTGATGGGATCTCTGGCTGGAGATTACCTGGGGCTATTTGAGATCATTTTGAGCCTCTTGCTGAGGATTATCTGGGTCCTTCATTGAAGATATTCTGGGCCCCATACTGTTGATTAGCTGGGCCCCTTATTGGCGATCATCTAGGAGATAATTTGGGCCCTTTGCTGGAGATTATCTGGGGCCCTGTGGCTAATTAATCACTACGAGCCGACCCGCGGCGTATCATACGCCACCATTTAGTTGTTTTATTTTCTACTTTTCAGTAATTCATAATTTGTGAATACGACAGTACCAATGCTGCCACTTAATATATTTGCTTTAAAACACTATCAGTAGCTCTTGAAGGACGATACCCCCCCCTCCTTTCCCCAACCCCTACCCCACCCCCGTGAAAACAGCCTCCTCTTAGTTACCTCCCCTAAGTTTAAAATCGTTTCAAACTAAATTATCTGCCCCTAGTAACTGTCACTAAAACCCGGCTCTAGACTGTAAACATTTAGCGTGAACCAAAGCTCACCAGACCATGTAGGGGTGGGGTGGTAGGGAGCGCGCTTACAGCTTGTTTTTTAGCATCTCCCAGAAGAGAATTATATATATAGATAACCCACAATTTTTGGCATCTACAATTTTTGGGGAGCTAGTCAGCCTCCTCATCAATCTACCACTTCACCAGCTCCTAATACTAGCATTTCAAAATGCTCAGAGTTCATAAACCTACTCACCTGAAATTATATGTTGACTAGTTAATCAAGCTGGTTATGATTTTAAATCTGTGTGTGAATTATAGTTCTGCTCATATAGACCCTATAGGTATAATCTATTTGGACTAAATTTCATTGTGTGGTTACCTTTACCTTGATCATAATCTTTGATTAAGATATTCGATATATAATCCATTCAGCTGAGGACAACTTGGTTTGGCGTTTCCGTGGTAACTTAGTGTTTGATGGTGGCAAAGAGTTTGAGGAGGAAAATTGGGCATCAATTTCTCTTGGTGGGAACACAATTGTGGTGAGTTAACAGATGGTACATACATTTTCTTGCTGTACAAAAACAGCAACATACATTTTCCTGCTGTACAAATAAAATACACACATAGTTGACACATAGTTGAATAACAGAAAAAGGGAACGTTCTTGATTGTTTACTGAAGACATTAGGACTAAGACCTTGAAGGTTTACAAAACAAGGGTAGTTCACTCTCAAAGTAAGAAGTAAGCTCACTCTCTGTTAGAAAAGAAGATACTAGAGCTTGCATCTAGTTAGTTCATTAGCTGTTTCTTAACAAATGTATGTACTCTGGTATTTAGATAATAACATAAAAATGTATGTACTGTCGTTAATTTAGAATGTAGATTACATTTTTGAAAAATTGCCCCTTCAAGTTCATTTTAAGAAAATACGAGCACTGCTAAGTGTTATAAATTTACCCATAGGTCTATGTTAGGTAAAGAAATAAAATGATACAATGTTATTTATTAAGTGTCAAGGGGCGTGCTCCAGGTGTCAGATGATTTGCATGGATCAGGAAACTGGACAGAAGAGTCGAGAGCCTTTGCGGACATTGGGTGTATGGAGGGGGAAGAAGGTATAATAATCACCTGTTGAATTTTTTACTCAGTCTCTTTTTAGAAATTTGGGCAGATAAACCCAGTATGCCCAAACTGTGAATTATTTTAAGAATCTAAAAAAAAAATTGTTTCTTTGTCCATGATAATGATTAAAAAACATTCTGATGACCTTTATTCTTCTTGTTTTGTTTCATGCTATTGAAAACATTTGACTTAATTTTCACACATGTAAAATGTATTGTCTTACACTCTAACACCTAACAATCTTTAAATGTTTATTTTTACAGGTACCTTTTGGTGTTCATGCAAGAATGCTGCCATCAAGTGATGGGGCCAGGCAATTTCTTCATGTTGGGGATATCATTAGTGTTCTTGATTAAGATATCATAAACAATTAAATTATTTTTTTGCTAATATTATAGAGAAATATAGAAAAACAAGTGTTCTTTGAAATCCTATGCATATACCTTTTTGATATATCAATAATTATATTTTATTTATGTTTAAAAAAAATTATTGATGTGATAAAAGATTAATCTGAACAAATGTTTTCCAGATTAAGCAGAGATTGTTTATACACCGGTTTATATTTATACCTATTTCTTATTTAATGTACCTTTTACCATAATTTAATTTTACACATTAAAATTAATTATTCAGATTGATCTCTCCCTAAAAATTCATCACTTTCAGTAAAAAAACTTAATCTATCAATTATAATTGTATTGAATCAGTTTTTTAATGAGAGAATATTAATTGCATTTTTGTTGTTCATTATAAAATTTGATAAAATTTTAACAAATTAATTAGTCTGTTACTCTTTTGTGCTAAAATAATCTATTATTTTTATATATTCTATTTTGTTTTAAAGTTTATATGTTTATACCTTTTAAATAAGTATTTTTGTTACATTATAGTTTGTAGACTTTAATTAGAATTACTTGTCATTGTTACTGTAGTTCTTTATATTAGCCAGTAAATTACAATTTACTTGTATAATTAATTTTTATATTTACTAAAAAGCACAAATTCATAATAAATAATATTAAATCAAAACAAAAAGTGCTGTTTAAATCAAAAATTTGGATGTTTCTTTCTTTCTTCAAATATATGTAACATATAAGCTAAGAATTTGTGTGGCCACTTTATGATGTATGGGGAGGGTGGGTGCATGAAAAGGAGGAGGTGGGAGGAAGGTAAAATTTTGAACAAAATCAGATTTTTTTTAAAAAATCGAGTAGCGTAACTAAACACTGTAGGCAGAGAGAGAGAGAGAGAGAGATATTTCCATCATGGGACACAGTTAAAAATTGTGCAAGAATGTCATTTTAATCACGTGGGGGGGGGGGGTCTCACCTGTTGACACTAAGTCGAAAAATAGTAAAAAAAAATACTTTCTAAATGTTTTATCCACGGGAGTGGTGACACCAAAATGAAAATACAAAAATTGTTGGAAGGGGTGAAGTGACAACCTAATTTATCTCATCGGATGTTGCCTCACCTAGTAACGCCCCTGACTTCGATCAGCGGCGTAGCTAGGTCGGGTGTCACCTGGTGCGGCACCTCATGGTGTCAGCCCCCCCCCCCCCCTTTTTTTGTGTCTGTAATTTTAAAGTTGGTGTCAACCCCCCCCCCTCGTAATACCTTTAAAGTGTTAACATTTAATTATAATGATGTTTATTTATAGTCAGTTGTTAGTACAGCTGGATGTAGCATCGTTTTTTCTATAGTAAGCATGCTTTGGTCATGGTGTTACCCCTCCCCCACCCCCTCCTTTGTCTGGATCGTCATTATGTACTTAAAATACTCTTTAACAATTCATTGAACTGGCAAAATTTTTATTTTATATATCTAGCAATTATTTTGTCTAGGTGTCACCCCCCCCCTAAATGGTGTCACCCGGTGCGGTCCGCGACGCCTCTGACTTCGATCCATATTATTTATGGAAGATTTCTCCCCCATCCCACGTACATTTTTTTAGCAATAGACACATTGCGCAAATAAATGTTTGATTACAATTTCTTTAGGCTTAATCGATAGGGCTATGTGTCGATTTTAATAAGATGAACGTGGAATTGATTTAATGATTTCCATCGATTGTGTGCCGATAACATTGACCCGTTTCGCAATAATCGGAGGCCTGATTCAAAATCAAATAGTACTTGGCCCACTGCTATCTTCTATATATATAATTCTCTTCTTCGAGCCGTTAGAAAACAAGCTGCAAACGCTCTCCCTACCTCCCCACCCCTACATGGTATTAGTGAGCTGTGTTCACTCTAAATGTTTACAAGCAGAGCCAACGATTTTAAACGTAGGGGGGGGGGAGGAGGGGGGGAGGGAAGGAAGGGAAGGAAGGGGGGGGGGTTATGGTCCTTAACGAGCTACTTATAGTGTTTTAAAGAAATATTTTCAGTGTCAGCGTTGGTACTGTCGAATTCACAAATTATGAATTATTGAAAATTAGAAACAACTAAATAGCGGCGTATGTTATGCCGCGGGCCGGCTCGTTTTTAATAATCTGACAACTTCCGGTTACCTGATGGGCCGATAGCACTACTTGCTTGCACCATTTCCACATCCGCTAGATTGGTCTGACCAACCATGGGCACTGAAAATGAAATTTACTGATAACCTTTATAACTTTAAAAATAACCTCGGTGGTTAAATTACGTTTTTGTAGGGTAGCAGCTGATTTATTTAATCTAGTAATGTAATGAGCGCCAGTGGCGTCACTATCTCGGGCGTCACTCGGTGCTGTAATCTAGGGTGCTCCCCCCCCCCCCCCAACAGACACACTTTAGAGTTTAGGGCACTTTAGGCATCGATGCAGGCCCGCCAAAAACTAAAACTATGCATGGGTAATCAAATATAATGGTGTTATCCTCCTCCGCACACACCCAAAAGGTGTCATCAGGTGTCTAATACGTATATAACTTATACACGTTATTTTTAAAGTGGACTTTCTCAGTAAAATTTCGTGCTTTTAGTATTCAGTTTTGGTGTTACCCCCTTGGATGTGTTCACCCGGTGTGGTCTGCACTCTGTACCCTCTAACATGTAACGCTTCTTATATGGGAAAGGGGCGTGCCGAAATTGTCCTTATTTACATATAGTGTGTGCACGATACTTAAAATGAAACGGATAGCTACCATTTTACCATTTTATTTCTTTAACACCGTATGATGCATCACCAAAATTTCTTTCAGGCATCTACGGGGAGGCGGGGGGGGGGGGGGAATAAAGAGATGCCCAAGAGAAACCAGTTTTAATCCGTGTCCGCCGCCCCCCCCCCCCTCCAGTCTGTCCCAGGATTTTCAATGGAACAGAGAAAAATATATGGAAGAGATCGTGTGCATTACATTTACAGTTCTCAAAATGATTTAACAAGCGTTTTTTTTTTAAATCTTTTTTGAAAAAGTTTCTCTTAACAATCGTTAACAAGGAGATTCATTTTACTCTCTAAGTCTAAGATAAGTCAAAGTCAAGACACTATACAAACTATTTTTTTTAAAAATTCTTCTATAAACGACGTCACACCCCTGTGGAAAGAGATGGGGGCAGTGTTTCTTTCAGACTTTTTCTTCCAGGGGGGGGGGGGGGGGCGGACACAGGTAAAAGTAAATATTTTCTATATAAATTCTATTTTGTTCTGGGGGTCATCCATAATTGACGTCACGCTTTTTGACGATTTATACTCCCCCCTCCCCTCCGTCACACATCGTCACAAAAAGCCAGACCCTCCCCCTAGAATGACGTCACACCCCAGCCTACAACCCCCCCCCCCCCCTAAAAATTGCAGTTGAATTTTTTTTTAAACATCGATATTTTTCCAAAATCTTATCTGAATATGTCAAAATAGAATATTTTAATCAATTCTTATTACAATTTATTAAAACAGTTTTCTAAAACGCGAAATAACGTCTAAAATACGTTTTCTAACATTGCTTTTTTATAATGCAAAAGTGTGACGTCGCACCATCTGAACCCTCCCCCCCCCCCTCCCCATCATCATACACCGTCACAAAATTACGGATCCCCCTCCCCCTACGCGTATGACGTCATTTATGGACGACCCCAAAAGCGTGACGTCGTTTATGGACGACGCCTAAAAGAAAAGGATGGGGTGCTAGATCTAGTTTGTTATTTTGTTTTTTATGTAGCGTTTTTTTTTGGTGGGGGGGGGGGGGGGAGTTAGGTAAGGTGTTGGGATCAGTGTTTCTTCCAGACTTTTTTCTCCGGGGGGGCACTTGAAATTTTCGGGGGGGCGGTAAACTTTCTTCGGGGGGGCGGACATTGTTAAAAGTATATATTTTCTATATAAATTATATAAATTTCATTTCGTTCGGGGGGGGGGGGGGGCGGTAAAAATTTTTCGGGGGGGCTTCGCCCCCCCGAAGAGATGCCTGGAAGAAACTCTGGTTGGGATGCGGGCCGTACTGGGTGAATAATTTAGATTAGAGTCATGACACCACGCCGAAAAATTTAAAGTCTATAAAGTTGCTCTATTGCGTAGTGAGTTTTAAAATATATTCATTTACTAATTTAGACTATTGTATTTAATATATTTGTATTTAATATGCGTGCCATCCCTAAATGCAGGTTTTTCATTATATTCCTGTTTATTTTTAACCTGTACTTATTTAGATGCTTGCCTAAAGACCTCGCTTGATTTTCCGTCACGTGACATTAAAGTTTACTTTTCACAATCACAGGGCCACTGTAACAGTGTTGTTGTGCGTCAGTGTAGTGTTTAGTCGTGAAACTTTAGTGTACACATTAAGTAAACCTGCGACTAATAAATAAAAAAAAAATAGCTAGACTATGTTATCAGAATCCCCCGAGGTACGAGTCTGTAGTAAATTGTAACCGAAAAGTACACACATTTATAAAGACCTCTCAAATGTTTGTTTCCAGACAAAAAATTATTCACGGAAAAGATCCACGGCTGAGTGTAAATTCTGGGTAATCTATCGTTTTGGGTACGTAAAATCGCCCGCGATTTGTAATGTGAAAAACAGGTGACTCCTTAAGTTTTAATAATTATTTCACATTTTGAGGAGGATTTATGTTTTAAAAAATTCAAAAATGTTTCCTTGATTCATTTATGTACCTGTTTTTAAACAATTGAATTAAAACTATTCCGTAATAAATGAAGACTAGCGATGTTTCCAACAGATGCAACCATGCTCATCTACTATAGCAGCCATCTTGTCTAAGTTTTATTTTTATAAGCTTTTAGCGCCAGATTCAGGGGGAAGCCACTCTATTTTACAAATGGCTGCTGTTTATATAGCAAATCTTGCTCTCAGACACTGCTGTTTAAAGTTAATTTCTGGCCTATATCGATATATTTAGCCATTGATTTAGGTTTATTATTCATTTATCTATAATATTTGACACAAAAGTATGACAATATACTTCTATTAAAGCCTTGACAATGAGGTAACGTTTTCGTACATAAATAGCCGCGGGCGATTTTACGTACCCAAAACGATAGATTACCAAATTCTGTGACGGATATGGTGAGGCGTAGATTCTAGATCTAGATTCTAGATCTATTTAATTTAGATTAGATATAAATCTAGATCTAGATTTTCTAGATATCTAGAATACATTCTAGGGGATAATAAGAACTAGAATCGACATGAGTTAATAGTTAATTGTAGGCCTAAATTGTAGTATTAATAATTGAGTTTTCTGTTAAAAAAATAGTAAAATCTAGAACTAGACTCTACCAGTCTACCTACACTTAAATTTTTTTCCATCTAGTCTAACTAGTAAATAATAGGCCTTAGGCCTAAGTAGATCTAGAGATTACTTAGTTTACAGATGGCAGCTGTTTATATAACAAATCGTGCTCGCAAACACTGCTGTTTAAAGTTAATTTCTGGCCTATATTGACTATAGGGGAGTATAAATCACATATTGATATAGATCTAGTTAGCCATTGATTTTAATTTATTATTCAGTTATCTATAATATTTGACACAAATATATCACAATATAATATACTTCTATTAAATAATTAAAGCCTTAATAATGAGGCCGCTGCCGATTTTACACACCTAAAACGATAGATTACCTTTTTTTTTAGTAAGGGCCAGTTAGGCTTACTTTAATACTTATTACTTAACAATTAGGCTGATATTCTGATACTAGATCTGCTACTGTTAGTTAAGTGTTCGTATTTTTAATTTTATTTATTTTAGAGGGTTAGGGGCACTTCAAATCTTGTTGCTAGCAACATCCACACAATAACAGCACATGAGGGTGACGTGACGGCTGTGGCTTATTCTAACACCACTCTTGCAACATGCTCCTCTGATAAAACTATCAGGCTTTGGGGTATTAAAGATTTCACAGAGCTACCATCATCTCCACTATTGGGCCATAAATATTTTGTGAGTACTAGAACTATGTAGCAAACGTGTTATAATTATTTGTTTGTGGCTCATAAAGTCATAGATTTTTACTATATGTTTGTAGGAAGAAAAATAGAAGGTTTTGTTATCTAAAATGTTCTGTTCCATGAGTTTTTGTGTGCGTCTGTTAATTGCATTGTTTCAGTTCCTTTAAAGAAATGAATTTTTAAAACAAATTTAATTCATTGTCAGTATTTGAACTTATTGAAATTATATCCTTGCACGACTTTAATTATCATAGGTAAGTTTAATTATTAAGAATTGTTTAAAAATGTGTTTTAGCAAATGTTACAAAAATTGAAAATATTTTTTTCTATCCTATTGTAGTAGCGGTAACAAAAACAAAAAATAAGGACCATAGTTAAACAAAATATATATTTTGATTTCAGATCCACTGTTGTGAATTCTCTCCCTTGGGTTCAACACTAGCCACTTGCTCAACAGATGGGACACTGCAGCTTTGGTCTGTGAAGACAGGAGAAAATCTGGCCAGTTTGTCCCATCCTAGCAAGTGTGCCATAAGAGTTTGTCAGTTTTCAAGAGATGGGACAAAAATTATTACTGGGGGTGATGATGAAATGGCTTGCTTGTGGAATGTTGCTGATAAAAAACTTATCAGGTAATTGGTCAGAGTTTTGTTTTAATTTTTTTGTTTTATGCTTTGTGCATTTATGGTTTTTACAATGAATGAAATCTACTGATTTATCTTTTGGTTCTGCTTGACTTGGCTGATTACCTTGGTGCAAGGTCTCATCTATGGTGATAATTTAATGGCTTTATTTGAGATTGTTTCGTTTATTTAATGTGGTCAAGATTTCGGTTATAGTCCTACTGGTTTGCTGTTTGATAAGGTATTGTATTCGCTGGCCAGTAGATCATCTGTTGTACTCAGATACCCACAAGACCATCTATTGTACCAGATAGACGCTAGATCATCTATTGGACGCTAGATCATCTGTTCTACCAGATTGTCACTAGACCATAAATTGCACCAAATGGCCGCAAGACCATCTATTGTACCAGATGACCAGTAGATCTTTATTGTACCAGATGGACACTAGATCATGAGTTGTACCAGATGACCAGTAGATCTTCTATTGTACTAGATAACCAATGGATTATCTATTGTACCTAATGGGCACTAGACCATAAGTTGTACCAGATAGCCACTATACCATCTATTGTACCAAATGGTCACTAGACCATAAGTTGTACCAGACAGCCACTATACCATCTATTGTACCAAATGGTCACTAGACCATAAGTTGTACCTGATAGCCACTATACCATCTATTGTACCAAATGGTCACTAGACCATAAGTTGTACCATATGGCTACTAGATCATCTGTTGCACAAAATGGCCACTAGACCATCTATTGTACAAGATGGACAATATATAAAAAATTGTTTGAAAAAGTTTTCAACCAATCAGCTTCAAGAACCCATTTGTCTTAGTTTGTGGTTGATCTGGTTTAATGGATTTTGTGTGTGTGTTTTAATCATGTGCTACAGGCATCGCTGTGTATTTAATTGACTCAGCCAGTTTTATTTTTATCAATTAATCAGGTTATTGATTTTTATTTCCAGCTGCTTTGAAATGCTGACTGCTAAAATGTTTACTGTCTTTTTTAATTTCACCTTGTTGGTCTAATGTGTTTTTCATTAGCTAACATTTTACTGTAATTAATTTATTGAAATGAAACACCCACATAATTTTTTTTCTATTTCTGTCACTTTAATGGGTTTTTTTTTACTGCCATTGCTTTTTCTTTCATCTTTCCCTTTGTTTTGTCAAATTTGCATTTTCATATTTTTTAATAAAAAGGGGAACATATTCATTGAATTTCAAATACTATTTTTTATAGTGACTAGAAAAATTGAACTTTGACTTAATAAAATGTTGATTTTAACTTAACCACCTTCCCACCTCAAATCATAACCAACTTTGTTTTGACATTTGTTTTGACTCTCTGCTAGATCATTCAAAGGCCACGATGAAAGTGTAACAGCAGCGACCTTCACCCCAGATGACAACTACATTGTGACCTGCAGCTCAGGGGGTGACATGGGAGGGGACATGCTGGTGTGGGATGCCCAGTTTGGACATGGAAAGTTCTTGACCCGCATCCATGACTGCCATGACCTTGGGGTCTCGTGCTGTGCTTTTTCACCCACATTTGGCTCAGCAGGTATTTCCTGACTATTCACAGAATTAGTTTTACCTGAATTGGTTGTAGAAATAGTGACACTAGCCAATCTGGGTTTTTTTTAGTTATCTGTGTTGATAGCTTAATGATGTGTGTTAGTAAAGTAACTTTTTCAAATTTTATTGTCCATAGGGCAGATTGAGTATACAAGATATTATAGTATGGCTAATACTACAAGAAATATCTAGTTACTTGAAATTTTAGTATATGTTTGTAGTTGTGTTGATATTTATGTGGGCACTAATAATGAACCTCTGTTATGGCAGTTAGATAAATCTTAATATATATTTTGACCTGTTGTGCCAAAATTTTAGCCTGAAAAAAACTGCTAAATCTTAATATAATTTTTTTGACCTGTTATGCCTGAAAAAAACATTTTTTTTTCTTTTAGTCTTTTCATAAATTAAAAGAAAATTATTGCACATTAACTTTTGGTTTTAATGTTTTGTTTAATAAATCTTTTGTTTAGGAGATTCATCTAGAAGTGACAGCCCTCACAAATTTCTGCTTGCCACAGGAGGCAAGGATAACCTGGTCAAGCTTTGGATATTCACTGGGCATGTTGGTTCTGTTGGTGAGTCTACTAAACCCCTGCTGGTTACCCCCACTAGTACCTTCTGTGCTCATTCTTCAATGGGATTGGTGAAGTAGAGTTTATCTGTTTCTTTGAGATCAGGATTTATAGGGGCAGGTTACAATGTATTTGCCATTATGTATTTAAACATTATATTTTAGAGCTCAAGGAGTAAGTCACTAAAAAGGACTAAGTACTTGTTACTAGAGTCAATGATGATTTATCTCTATAACTAATTGGCAATCTCAGCTTTACTAAAAGAAGATATGGCTAATTAAAAGGAACTAAAAATTAAAGTACCCTTTAGACCCCTTACGTGGGACAGGTGAAGTAGAGTTCATCTGTTTCTTTGAGATCAGGATTTAAAGGTATAGACAGTATAGTGTGGTCAGCACTATGCCCATCTTTATTTAGCTACTGTTACTCACACAGAGCTGAGTACACTCAGGGACAATGGGCGTTGGTAAATATTTTATTGTAACTGAGGTTGGTGAAAAGTTAAAACCTAAACTATAAAGTCATTGAATGGATTGAAATGTAATTAAATTATGTTATAAGATAATTTTTTAAAATTAAACAAACACTTTTTTGTATCATCCCATAATTTCCTGCAACTAAGATGTTTCTGTAAAACTGGAAACAATGCTCCCAGGACACAAAGACTCTGTGTTGTGGCTTTGTTTCTCTCCTGATGGTCAATACATTGCTTCTTGGTAAAGTTAATTGGTAGTTAATTCTTAATGCTTAGTTTACTTTTTGTTTTGATTTCTCTGTAACATAACTATCTTTATGAAAATGGACTGACACTTTTTATTAAGAAATACTTATTTATTTGAAATTTTTAAATTCTTGATATACCATTATTTTCGAGTTATTTGTTGTTTTTTAATTAATATTATTTTAATATTATTTAAAAAAATTCTATTCTAGCTCATTAGACAGAACAGCTCGTCTATGGAATGCGGTAAAATTTTTTTAATGAAATGTTAATGTTGTTGCATCATTGATTAATTACCTTGATCAGCTTTCCATTTTAATTAATTTTTTTTGCTTGAAAAACAAAGTACATTAAACCTGTGACTATGTTAAAGGAAAAAAGAATAATGGGAATGTTAGATCTGTAACAGATAATATAAAAATCTTTTTTAACCTCCCCAGAACACACAGCAGGCGATTATCAGCATAGATGAACATTCTAGGTAAGTGTTTAAAGAAAACTACTTTAATTTCTTGACTAGTTTTGTCACTTTCTCATAATTTTTGTATTATCTAAAATTAAATTTTGGGTGGCAAATTAAATGCAACAATTTCCATATAATCCAATATTGTACATTTTTCTTTCCAGATAATAATCTAAAAAATTATTTGCAATATCTTATAGGTTGGCCTATTATTTAAAAAAACCTATTCTGTTTTAGCTATGTGGCACACTGCGCTTTCTCCAAAGATAGCAAGTGCCTGGCAACAGCTTCAAATGACAACACCGTAAAAATCTGGCAGCTGAATGACACATCACATATAATGCGTAAGTTTTGACACTCCCATTCAGTGGGTGATCTCCGTCCCAAATTTCTGTTTATTAGTTTTTAACATTCTACTCAGCATAAACTTTATGTTAACTCAGTTCCAGTGAGTAAAATTTAAAAAAAAAATGTTATTTAAAAAATCTATGCGGTGAAAACTGTAAAACTGATAATGATATCTGTTTGTTGATTTTTAATAACATATTTGAAAATAAACAACTAATATTTGTTTAGTAACAAATTTGGAAGCCATTGTCATCTAGCATAACATTACAAACAACCTATTTGCATTCCATCAACATAACAAGTAACACTTAAAAAATGTTTTGGTAAAAACATAGAAAGGCAGGGTGGGACAGGAGTGAGACTGTAGTTGTGTATCAGCACTGGATGCTTGGACTTAATATGTAAACTCTCTCAAACAAAAGGCCTACTTCTGTCTTTGGTTCTTAGGCTATATAAGATTTAAGCTAATGTGTTTGCCATATTTTTGTTGCAGAAAATTTAGCAGGCTATGAACAAGGGGAAGAAACTCCAGGGCAGGCGTGCACCAGTTACTCCCATGTTTCTATGGAGTTGTGGTCTGTGGATGATGTGTGTCAGTGGTTAGGCTCCTTAGGTCTATCTGAATATGAGGACAAGTTTAGAACCAATGCCATTGATGGGAAGGAGTTGCTAGCCGTGTCTGCTGCAGACTTAGAAACACTTGGAATTGGTAAGAATAATGTCCCTTGTTGAAATCTAGACTTTTAATTAAAATTTACATTAGGCCTATGTGAAATATATTTTTATTTTGACACTAACTATAAATTTAAAAAAAAATGTGTATGCCTAGATCTATATGTATAGTTTTATTTCAACACAGCTGCTGTTAGTTAATTTGATTACATAAACAAATTTTATTATGCTTTTTGCTCAGACTTTGTTTTATGGGTAGCCTATTTAAATAAAGTTAATTTTAATAATTCTAATAACTTGAATAATTAAAAAAAAAAAATTACAAATGAAAAACTACAGCAAAACATCCGAGTTTTCACACCCACTTTTTATGTATTGATCAGAAGCCCTGGGGCACCGCAACAAAATACTGAGAGGCAAAGCAACAGCACAAGACAAAACAATTTCCTCAGTGAAAGATGAACCCACCAACACCCCAGATGAATTCCTCTGTCCCATAACACACGAGATCATGACTGATCCAGTTATTGCAGCAGGTACAGGGAGAATGTTTCACTTGTGTTTCAATTGTCATAACTTGTATATTAGAAACAAAGTTACCTTTTTAAAACACTGTTCATCATGTTAATATCATTGGAGAAATAGTTTGAGATCAGTGCTTGCTTAACCGTTTATTTTTCTACTAGATGGCTACACATACAATAGACCAGCTATAGTAAGCTGGATGGCAAAAGAGCTCCGTAGTCCAATGACCAACATGCTCCTGGAGTCGTCTGACCTGGTTCCTAATCGCACACTGAAGATGATGATTCAGAAATTCTTGCATACCTCCTAAAATTGTAATATATAGCTTTAGAACTGAGTGAATCTAAAATAAGCATCAAAATCTTAAAGATGGTTAATCTTTAATCAGTATACACATAAGTATATATTTTGTATTTATTTTAAGGACATAAATTGATATTATGGCATTTAAAATTCTGAAACTGTGAGCATTGAAAGTGTAACTAGCACACCATACAAAAATGTCAATTTTGGGGATCCATGGGAGACACCCCTGCCTGCACAACTGTCGTTGTTTTTAACTTTTGTTTCAAACACATTGCGCTTAAGTATTTTTAAAAGAAACATTGGACTAAAAAAAAAGATAAGAATTGTAAATCAGAAATATTTCAGAGATTTTTTAAAACTTTTTCTATAAACTTTTTCTATGTAACTGCTAAGTAAGCTATTGCCCTACAAGTACCATACACTACTATTCTGGTCACCAACTGGGACAGTAACTTCAGTTTCACTACACTGCAGCAGTTTTAAATATTCAACAGACTGGATGCTAACTTTATAATTATTATACACCATTGATATTTAACTCCGGAACCACAGCTTTTGTTTCTTGACAGTGTGCCTACTATGTTATATACCGCACCTTAGATGCAGAACTGAAAGCCAATTTCTATTTTAATTGTGTTAAATGTATATAAATATTTATCTGATATGATATCTTAAAAATTTATTCATCTCTAGTTTTGCTCCTGAGCTGGTTTAATACCTATAACCTTCTCTGTATAGCTTTACGTCATCTCGTCTTTCTATGCTTATAGTTTATATTTTCTGTACTAGGTTAAAATCTTTATTTTTGAGAACGTATTTGGTGAAAGCTAAACATGATTTTCACTGCAAGCAGTACTCTTTTTCACAGAAAAAAATATTTATTGAAATTGTGTTCAGATTTATTAAGGTTTGCTAAAAAAAAAAATCTGTTTAAGACAAGCCATTGAATATGTTAAAAAAAATTAGTGTTTTTTCATCTCTTCTGTAAATCTGTGCCTTCTTCAATATTACCTATAATCTGTTGGTTTGCCTTAAAAAAAAAAAGTCCATTTTTTAAGCCTTTTTTTATAAATTATATTTACAATTGTTGATTTAATGTATCATTTTTCTGAAAATTATTTAGATATATCTATATATCTCATTATTTGTTACAAAGGTTATAAACAACTATATTTTAAAATTTCTTTTGAATTTTTTGCAATACGATATGGCCTTTTAATTGTGTGCGAAAAATTTATTCTCTATTGTTATCTTATAACAATCTTGACATACTGTCTTTAATTTTTTTTTAAATATTATCAGTGTGGTGTATTCAATTGTTGGAAATTGCAATAAATTATATTCTAATTTTTTTCTCTTGCATGTAACAAAACAAATGAGATTGTGGTTTTAAATTTATTAACGTTGCAAACAGATAGGTGAACGTGAACTCAAAATGGACCAGCCAGATTGGGTGTTAATTTAAATCCCCAAAATGTTTCTCTTCAAAATCTATTGTAGTTGCCTTATAGAGGGTGTTGACATAGATGAATCCATTCCCACCTCAACACATTGATGCAAAAGTAAAAAGAAATGCTACTGTACAATTTATTATCTAGCTGTGATATTTTTTATGTATTTCTTTCTTTGTTAATGAAACATTCCATGTTATTTTATCATAAATGTTTCAATGTTTGTTAAAATGTGGACCTTCCTGTAGCAGCACCTTGTCCTTTAGATGTATAAACTAAAATTGTTGTTAGATTCTCAAAGCCATAATAAAAACAAAAAAACTTGGGCAGCTTATTCATTTTTTATTTATGTTTTTTCCTTTTTTACTTTCCCTATGAAAGAACAATTTTGTAACTGGCAAACAATTTGGACAACATTTGCATCATGATAATATAAAGAATGAACAATAGTGTAATGAAGGTAAACATTTAAACACCAACAGCTACAAAAATCATACATCATGGTCAACAGTTTTCAACACATTTGCATATCACTAGATAATCATTCTTTTAAAAAGACTAAAGCAAGGTCTTAAATCAGAAAAATATCCCCTGCAAATTTTGAAAGATTAAAAAAACTTTCAGATACAAGTACAAGCATCAAAACACCACATATTTCAAGCTGACTACACAAAATGTACATGATGGATTACCCCAAAACACCAAACACTAAGTCTTAGAATGATTCAAGACACAAGGACATTTGGAGATTGGAGCTATTTACACTGGGTATAAAAATGTGAGTGATTATGAAATATTAAAATGATTAACATCAAATCTTAAACAAAATACATTTTTTTAAATCACAGAAGGTGAAAACAATTTTTTTTATGGGAGTGAAAATATTTACACTTGCTAAGTTATTTTTAAAATCTGACTTACTTGGACATCCCATTAATTTTCTAAATATTTGAAGCCATTTGTACTGATGTTAAAAGTATGGCCGTATTTTCAGAACTAGTATTGTGATAAAGAGATTGACATCTACCAGTAAGCAGTTTTTAACAAGAGATGGAATGTATTCACTTCAAGGTAGATACTGACACATAATTTAACACTAAATGATGTGAAATAAAACTTTCTCAACTCATACAAAAAAAGCTTGAAGCTAAAAATGAATAGCCATAAAAAAAATTCACTAGAAAATTTACAAGATGCTATTTATTTAAAAATCTAAAAGAGAATCTACTAATGCCACAAATACGTCCGATAATGGCATTGTAAACAAGTAACATTTTTAAAATTAAATGCTTTTGCTTTGATCTAACTACTTTTTATAACATGGCACTGTAAAGGGACTTGCTTATGTTAAAAGTGAATGCAAGCAATGTAGAGAGGTATAACTGGTACAGCAATTTGGGGAACCACCGAGACTGGTGTGGTGTGTCTGTCAAAAACTTAGAAATGGCATCAAACTTCAGGTTTACAAACACTATGCACATTAACAAGTACTTTTTATAGTAAATGGCAGAATTTGAAAGCGTTCATAGATTGTGTATATACAGCAACAATGCAATCAAAAGCTATTTTTTTTGTACTGCTTGAAAACTGGCACCTGCAAGTATTTGTTTTTTTCACGCACAGAGGATCAAAAATACATTTCAATGCCACACGATTTATAGTAAACATTTAAAATGCATTAAGTAGTCTACATGAAATATCAGTAATTAATTCACTAATATACACATTTATACAATTTGCACAGGAACACAGAAAATCATTACGCTCCAGTTCCACGTTACTGGCAAAATGTTTTTAAAAGGTTACTGAATTACATTATTTTAGGCCTGCTTTCATGGGCAGCCATTGGATTAAACAAGTTACTGGTTGCTGATATTTGAGATGTTTCTGAACACCTTTACCATCTAAAAATACCTAAAATTTCTACCAAACATTACAAAAGGTATTTGTTTTTGGGTTTATAGTGAATGAACAGATTTTTAGAAAAATTTCTCAACACAAGCATATAATGTATAACTGGTGTCTCCTATGCTCATGGATGTAAACTGTCTAGATTGGCAGAAAAGGCTATTATATGTAATAATTTGTAATGATAAGTGGCTTAGTTTATTAAACTACTGTAGTAGCGAATATAATAATACATGGATTTAAAATTTATTCATGTTTTGATTCAACTTTTGAAACACAAGTATGCTGTTTATGTTTTTAGTGAAAAACATGGTTCATTTTGTTATCGAACAATGGCTTAAAGGGATTACAGTTAAACTTTAAATCCACTATTCATACAGATGTACCTGACATAATAAACTCATTATTTACTGAGTGTACAAATGTCCATTTGGGAAAAGATACACCTTAGTAAGAAACAGCAGAATCGAGTTCAATAGGTTTAGTGTAACTGATGGCTTGCTTCTGAGTAAAGAGGGTTTCAGGATATATTTTGATACAGATACCAAAAATCAAATAAAGCCAATTAAAACTATCTGAGAAATTATAAAGATACACAATTTAACAACGCCTGTATATTTTATAATAAAGCTCCTAATTTCTTTCAAAAACGTTTTCTTAAAATTAAAAATAATGTAGTTAACACTAACACCGTTTACAAGTTAAATAAACACAGTATACTAAAAGTAAATTTTACCAATTACAATCCTGATAATTGTCTAGTTAAATTTGTTAAAATTCTGTTAAAAATTAAATTACTCCTTAGAAAACGAACTTGTAAGGCTTTATCTGTGGTGGCCATCAATAGAAAATGATTTAATCCTCTGTGCTTACAATGAGCTCCAGCTCACAGGCCCATAGCAGGACTTTATGGATTGGGATAATCCATTATGACATTTCAACCATTTTATGGCTTCTCGGTTCAATGCCTCATCTTTTGTTTTTATTTTTCCTCGGTGTGTCAGACCCTGTCCACTCAGGGTCATTTGAGTCGTCATTTAGTGCCTTTCTTATCTTACAACGCTTAGACACTTCAACCCCAATCCACTCAGGGTCATTAGGATCCTCCCCAAGTGACGAGACAGATTCATTACTAGGGTGAGGAGAAGGCGCAGCACTGGGGTCCTCCTGGTTGTCCACTGAATTCCCAACATATACTTTTCCAGAGGGCTCTGCAAGTCGCCTGGCAACTCGCCTGTGAACTGGCTCACAGCTGGGAGGCAGTTCCTCACTCATTAGTTCAAACTCATCCTCTGATAAAGGGAAAGTCCTCCTTGGCCAGGGTTCTACCCCATTACATTCAATAAGTGAATTGTGAATGTCTTCCAACACAGATCCACTCCGCTCTCGTTTGGAGAAAGAAATGGTTCTCCTTCGAGCAGTCAGCATCTGGATATTATCCAAAGACTCTTCCAGACTAGATGTGCTAGGCAGACTGAGGAAGAGGAATGTTTGAATCAGTTTATTTAAAAAATATATTTCACAACAACAGGAGAAACAGCAAAATGAATAGTTTAATAATTTTTAGGCTAACAATACAATAGACTGTTTACCTGGTCCTATTTCTCCTTAGTGGAGGGTACTGAACAAAGTTGCGGAAACGTTTCTTCTCCTCTTGCTCCAGAACCATATGTCTGGCTGCAAACTTCTCATCAGAGAGATCTTCTTCAGGCTAGTAGAAAAACAGTTTGCAATGATAAGTTGAGGTAATCTTTTTACAAGAAATAAACTCATTTAAAAGATTGCTATCTAATAAAAATAATTTGGATTTCCCAGTTAACATAAAAAATACGAAGCATACCTCTTCATCAGAAGAAACTTCAACTTTGTGTCTTTCAACAGGTATTGAAACCCCATTTGTTTTTTCTAATTTTTGCGTAATTTCAGTTGATTCAATCTGTGCTAAAGACTTAGGGATTTCTCGCCACCTGATGAGTTAAGATAGTAAATTTATTATAAATTCTCAAAGTGTAAAAATTACGGTTAACATGAATTTTACAAAAGATCTTACAGTTAATACTTAAATACAAACAAACCACATATACATTGTGGTTATTTTGATAACCTGCGTTTATACACTAGCCTTTTGTACTTTGTAAAGTTTAAAATTAACATACTTAGGTGTGACAATTTCCTTATACTGTGGCTGTTCCACCCTAATAGTCGTTGCCATACTGAGTGGGATGACAATATTGTTGATATCAAAGGAATTGTCCACCCTCCTTTTACGTGAATGACCCCCTTCTCTCATGTCCTTGAGGGAGGACTGTGAAGCACTGCAGGATAGACCACCCTCTCTGTTGCTTGACATAGAGGCTTCTTGCTCTAAAAATAAGGCTTCAATGTCATCATTATCCTGATCATACTGATGCCTTTTTATAGCTGTTGGAGAAAAGTAATGTTTGTCCTGGATCATTTTCACCTGACATGACTAGTAACTACTCTAAGAACATATTGACACCTGTCTAAATGTCAGTGATTTTAGATAAGACAAAATACTTCCCAATGGAATTTTTAAAAAGCAATGTAAGCCAACATCTAATAACACTCAAAGTGTTACCAAAAATATAAAGTAAATTTATCTAAATCTAAAATAAAACATGAAAATCATCAATGACTACATGAACAACAAAACATTAAATTACCTTTTGTAACTTTAACAGATTTTCTTTTTGTTTTTTTATTCACACAAGATTTAATAGACGCTCCTTTTGATGTTGTATTTCCTTTTGTTTTACCTTCATACTTGTTTTTTATTTCTATAAAACAATAAGATGTATAAATATATGTGGTATCGTCTGAGATCTATTTAATGGTTTTTAAAGAGGTAGTAAAACAAAGTTCAGTTACTTTAAAATATGTGGTAGTGGTATGTTAGAATAAGCTTTTCCCCATTGCAGTAATTACCAGAGGTTAAAAGTATTGTATAAGCAAAAGTACAAGTATGGTTTTTTTTGTATATATAAAAAATTCATTGCAGAAGAAAAAAACAAAACACCTGGATTAGAGGAATAGTGGTGTGTAATATTGTAATATAATTTGATTCCTTGTTTTCCAGACTAATTGCAACTAATTAAAAAAAAAATGGCCCACTTTTACAAGACCAAGGCTTAAGGTATGTAGACTTCTTTTCATGCCTATCTAGCAAGGAGGGCAATGATTCAGGTGCAACCAGAAAATAACATATATTTGTAAAAAAACCCAGTCTCTAAAAATGTGACATTTACTATTTCAGTTAACTCTAAATATGCACCATAGAAAAAATTAATATTAAAACTTTCATTTGACTATGATTACTTATTAAATAAAGAAGCTAAATTAAGATGTACTCAAGTTTAAAACAGGCTGAAAGACAAATTAACAATGAAACTTACTTGCTGAAAAATTTATCACAGATGTATTGTTTCTTCCATTTTGTCTGGTGTTTCCATTCTTTTTAACAGGTTCAGTCACTAAGTTTAGAACTTTATGTCTTTTATAATCCCCTACTCTAGATTTGCGGGAAAGTGGCTTATTCTGCCACATCCCAGTTTTGAGTAATCCTTCAAAATGAATCGGCAAGTGTACGTCTTGTGGGAATGAAAGCACTGGATGGAATGAGGAATCAAGGATGGCAACTCTTTCTTTTACAGACATGCTATCAGGGTCCACTGTCAATGTATTGTTATATCTTCCTCCACACACAGTACATGGGTTGGCTGGAGAATAGCAGCGACAACGAATGTCAGATAGCCGTGCTGCTTTCTGGCTGGTTTTAAAAAGCCCCATAGTTCTAAGTATTTTCCTCTTGCGATAGCTACGTAGAGGACGACATCTTGCTGCTTGACATGTACTGTCTAGGTGTGAATCCAACAAATGACTAGCCTTTCCAGAGAGGCGCAACTCTTTTGGGATCATAGGACTATCGTCAGCTGTTGTGGTATCTGTATCTGTAGTACTACATGGAGAGTCAGTGAGACCATTTGCAAAAGGTGAAGATATTTTTGAGGAGCAAGATGGGCTACCAACAGCAGATGACGGTGACATACATTTCCCTAAGGACTGGGCTAGCCTTGAAGGTAATTTATCCACGTTAGACATGATAGAGGATACGTTACTTGACGAGACCTCAGATTCCTCAGCCCCCTCTGATACTTTTTCTTCTCCAGAATGTTTCTGCAGGCTCTGTATGTGTCTTAAAATTTCTGTTGCTGTTGGTGGATCACCTAATACAACACCCCCTTTGCTGTTTCTCAGTTGCCTGTGGATCTGACTTTGTTGTCGAATACGATACTCAAGATCAGAAACTTGAGCTTGCAACCATGTCCAGCGTGATACTACAGCACCTCGGTCCACTGCCCATTTCCACTCAGCTCTTTTTATTCTGGGGATATACATTCATCCATTTAATGTTTAACTAATACTTTGTATAAGTTCATTTAATAAACATGTAACAAAAGAACATGTGGTTCCACAATAAACTTTTGCAAAAAATTACAAATCCATACAACATTTTTACTTGTAAGTTATCATTTATTATTTAGTATTGGAAATTAAATTTTGAATATAAAAATATATATGAATTTATTTTTTTTTACATTAAACATTTAGCCTACATAGTTTTTAATTTATTCAAGAACAAGTTACACTTTTTTAAAAATTTCTGCTATGGTTTAATAAATTTTAGAAAGATGTTAAGTAGCAACTTTTCTGTGTAACTACCAAGGAACTTTTCTCATATCAAAAGAGGCTAAAAATAGAAATTAAACTGAAGTTACACATCATTGTCAATAATACATTTACAAAATATTTCTTAGAATAGTAAATTTCTAAATTATTTCAGCTTTAAGGTTAACATTTAAAAAAAAAAATGTGTGTTCGGCTAAATGGACAAAATCACAGACATAACAGTTTATGGGTTGGACCTCAGACGATTGTACCACCCCCCCCCCCCCCACTTCCCCTTATTTTTCAATTTGTCCATTAATGTACATATACTGCTGTTACGTGTATTCTTTAAGAGTTTGGGAGTGTCAGGAGAGGAACTATTAAAAAAAACCACATGTTATTTAAATAGTTTTGACAATTATCAGTAACTAGTGCACGTTCTTTACGCCTTATTTAAACAGCAGTTGCCGGTGTGCCACCGTGTTCACTGTAGATTACGAATTGCTAAAAATAGAACGAAACTTCCGCACGACCGCGGCCAATGAAGATCCGTAATTTATAGAGGCGTGTCCTTTAGTCTGATGTAACGCTTAACTCTTTCAAAAGCTCTTTTTTTCTCTCACTATACCAACATTTTTCACAAAATGTGTTAGAAGTACTTGTAATGTATTACCGTATATATAATAAAATAGTTTGCAGGAAGACCCCCCCCCCTCCCGCCAAACACGCTGACTAATGTGCCGCTAGATTAGACGCGACCTTCCCTACAACTGAGCGACAGCTTCCCTTCTCGCCTGACCTTGATATTGAAGGCTGGCGGCGCGATCCATTGTGCTGGGTTTTTTTTTTTTTTTTTTTTTTTTTGGCATTCTGTTCCGTTTAGTACACATTAAAAAAAAAACATGTATATCTGCATTTTATATTCTTTATAAATATTAGAATATAATTAGAATACTTTTGTGGCGGGATAGCGTAGTTAAAATGGTTCTACATAAAATTTACACAGCGGGGTAAAATGCATACAATTGCCGGTAGGCCTACATCGTACGTTCATACAGGTGTTTCGTCAGACTATATTTCATATTTTCATCTTGCACTCCGTAACGAAGTTCAAGGTTTAAAAAAAAGAGAGGGGAGGGCAAACAAAAAATTTGGAAGAATATAGTAACCACAGTCAATACCGTTTTAACGGGGAGAGACCGAAAAATATGGAAGAATGTAGGGCCTATTAACAGCCAACACAGTTTATAATAATAATAATAGTTGTTAAATGATTTCATACATCATGTTTTATATTTTCTTATGAAAAAATCTAAATGACTAGTTTCAATAGTGTAAACCAACTAAAATTAATGCTAGCACGAATTCCAATGACCTAAGTCTATCCACCTGTGTGTTAAATTATGCTAACTACTAGGCCTATATGAACTACATCAGGTCACATTTATGATTGCATTTTGACACTAGTAACTAACAGTATAACAGTTGACTACCAATAACCTTTTGATCAAACGTTCTTTGTTAGATCATGAATAAATAGATTGACTAAAATCTAATTTAAAATATTTTAGGGTCTACTGTAAGGTATGCAAGTTACATAAGTTTTGGTGGGGGAAAAAATACTGCGAGATTTAAATTTAGGCATAGTTATGTCAATATGATACCGACTCAATACTAATCATGTTATCAATTGCCCTTTTATTTTTATGAGGCCTATGGGTTTAACAGAAAATTACTTACATTGGGACAAGAAAATATCTATCTTAACCTATTGTGATAGTGATTAGACCAAGCTATAAATAATAAAAACTTACAATGGGGGGAGATCTGTAGGTTGCTGTCGAGGTGACTGAAGTGAATCCTCATCACCACTTTCACCTCCAGAGCTACTAGCTGTAGCATCCGAATCCAACTCTGATGCTGTTGTCTGAACTCTCTGCATTAGCTTTTCTGAAGTGTTCAGAGATGTATTTCTAACAGAGGAGTCCATGATTGTGATACAGCTAGCTTTAGAAGAGGACTTCTCATGCATTGCTAAACGATTTGGCTGGCATGTTTTCACAAGCTTGACCAGTTGTGGTGTGGACATATTTTTCACCTCTTCATTACTGAGGAAATGTTCCTTCAGTTCTGTAGGTACTGGTGCCTCATTTTTAATAGCTTTGGCAACATTTAGAAGGTTTTTGTGTTGATAGTTAACAAAATGTCTTAACTGCTCCTTAGTGTGAGATTCAACTACTTTTCCTTTCATTCTTTTTAGCCTTCTTATCAATGTGTCAACTTTTCTTTCTAAATACAACTGCTTTTTGATACAATCTTTCCTCATGTCTTCTTTGGATTTACTTTCAGGTTGTGTTTCAGATACAGAGGACACACTTTCAAGAGCTACCTGAGGAGGTATTTGATTGTGTTTCATATTCATTCCCATTGTCACTGGAGAGTTTAGCTTTTCTTTATCTTGACTACCTGAAATTGAATGAAGGCCTCTTCTTACAGGTGCATCCCCACTCTCATCACAATCATTTACAGTATCACTCTTTTCTCTTCTATCAAGATCATTATCTCCATTAACCATTACTGGAGGTAAGACTTTTATCTTAGAAATGTTGGCAAATTTATCACCATTTCCGATACACTGATCTTTGATTTCTTTATTCTTGTCAGCAGCTACCTGCGGCTGATTCATTATCTTGAAATCGTCAATATATTGATCTGATTTTGTGTCCCTCACACTTTGAAAATCCTCTGAAGCGTAGTAATGATCAAGATGTGGCACTTTGATGCTAAGTCCTTTAATATTCGAAAACTTGCTGACATTCGATGAGAGCGGCAATGTTTGTGAACTGCCGTTACTCATGGACGTTGACCTCTTGGGGTCACCAATACCGTTTGTTGCGTTATGCTCGTTATTCGTCCGTGCCAGGTGTGTCACCCGCAGATCGGTCGATATGTTCCGTAAACCCAGTGTGTTCAAATCTCTCTTCAAAACTGGAAGAGAAAGGTCTTTAGTTTTATTATTAACTTTAATCAGCGAGTCTTTTTGGGTAGGATCTTGAATTTTGAGACGCGCGGATGCCGCTTCAGTCAGCGCTGGTGCCATTGCGGCCAAACATATCCTCAGTGTTGACGAGCCCGACATAAACGCATTTGCATCTGCAAAGGGTATTCCGTGCAAACTGATTCTGATTTTAGTCAGGCATTAATTTTACAAAATGCCGAGTCACAGTATAGATCTAGTCGTCGGTATCCCCAGCCTAAGACTGGTTTCAATCATTGAATTTTGCATGAAATATGTCAAAAGCACGCTGTCGATTATGAAACTAGGACAAGCCTTCAGACTATAAAAAGCACGTGACTCGTTCTCTACACAACAAGGAAAAAGTAGAACGGAAGGTTTAATCAATTCAAAGATTATCGAATATCAGATACACTAAGCGTTTGAATGTTATAATTTACAATCTAAGAACATTATGTTACTTTCTATTTATACTGCAGACGACAAATGTATTTGAAATGTCCCTTATTTTTACTAGCCTAAAGCACAAACCACACACTTTCTACACAACATAACACTAACAGTAACACCACGTGATCAGGCCACGTCCTTGTACACTGCATTATGCGTGAAGGATGCTGAATGTTTTAACCTTACAATCTCCGAAAAATATGAATGTCCAAGTGAAAAACATATAAGGCTGCATGAAAATATGTTGAAATTTCCACACACATTAAGTTGGAAGCAACAACAATATCACACTATAGTACAAAGTCAACATTTTATTCAGCGTATCGGACGATCCCTGTCATGGCGGCAAAAGTTGATTCACAATAACTTTACAAACAAACGTCTCTCGCGCAGCGAAGGACTACATCAATAGTTATACCCCTCTAGTCGCAATTCGCTGATTGGTTGACTCGGAGGGGTTATAAGTTCGTGAACTTCAATATGTTAACCTAGCTGTGCTTGTGGTTTTAATAAAGCGCATAAACATAGCTAGATTTCTAGGTCTAGATCTACTATTAGTCTTGTAAATTAACAGTGTTGCTAAATAAAATATTAATAACTATTTACTTTCCACAATTTTGATTAACTTCTGGATTCTAATGTACTTCAAATAATGTATTTAAAACTTCGGTCCTCGACGGTTTTTTTTTACGGAGTTCTCTAATGTTAACTCTTATTTATAATCTAGATCGCATACAACGTTTTAAAATATTATTATTGTTGCTAGATCTAGATATAGATCTATATTTATTTAAAAAATACGCTAGGTTAAAATATTGAGTAAAATCTACCCAAGAGCAGCTAGAGGTGTGTTAACGTAGCTTTTCCGTTAAAAGGCTACCATTGTTCGGCATTTATTATGGCTCGTTGTGAAGCATCGATACCTTCTCCGTTTTTATGTTGCTTCTAAAAACACTAGACTATCATACTTTTACACATGAAGAGTAGGTCGTATTGTGACCATTATCGAAATACTTCCTATCGTAAGTTGTATTCGATTAAAAGATGCCTGTCTACTAACAAAGATTATAATTGTAAAAAAAAAAAAATACAACTACCAAGCTATTATAAAAACGCTGACGGAAAAATGTACAAGTTTTTTTTCCTCCTACCGACCTCACTGCTACCACAGTTAGGGTAAGATCAGAGCTTTGAAGAAGATATTTGCAAATAATGGCCTAAAATATTTCCTAAGTATTTGACCGTCCACTTGACAGATGAAGCACATTTAAAATGTGTTTTCCTAGATCACCAAACAACAGTGTTTCTCGGGGGGGGGGGGGGGGGGGGGGAAAGAGGGGGAGTCAATTAAAACTATGGAGGAGGAGGTAAGGGGAGACGGGACGATAAAGGTGGACACTGGTTAATTATATATTTTCTATATAGCTAAAATTATTTTTGTTCTATTTCGTGAAAGCGGGGGGGGGGGGGGGGGGGGGGGGATGGGGCGGCGCGACGGCGGTCGTGCACCCAGAGGCGCCGACCTTAGGTGGCGCCAAAATGGGTGCAAATCGAAAGTTTGGGGGGGGGGGGGTGCAAATCGAAAGTTTGAGGGAGGGGGTGCAAATTAGAAATTGATAGGTTGCTCCCGAAGGTGCGCCAAATTCAAAGTTTGTCCCCGGGCGCCAGGAAGGGTTGCTACGCCTCTGCGTGCACCTGGAGGAGTTAAATTATTTCAGGCATCTCTTCGAGAATCTTTCCCCGTCATCCCCGAAGAGATGCCTGAAAGAAACTGCCAAAATTCTATTTACGTCAAGTAATCGGTCTAATGTCAAATCTCGTAAAAGCGCAATGACTATATGTAATCAGTTTTTAATCGGGGGTGGGGCGTCAACCATAAATAACGTCAAGATTAACTAACGTTATGCGCATGACTGCCTAACCCGAAAGTCTTGGATTCCAAACACTAGATCATAGGTCCTCACTTAAGTCTACCCGGCTAAGACGGTTATGCCATTCACTAAGTTGGGGGGAGTAAAGGTGGCTGGACAAAGTGCTGACCACACTATCCCTTCACATGCAGAGGTCACAAAATTAGGTTAACTCTATTTCATCTACCCCATGGGCAGCCAGGCGAGAAAGGGTAACTTTACTTACTATCCACTTCAGACTTATCAGGCCTATTTTGTTACAACAGTAAATCAAATCGTCGTCTTAGTTTACCCATCCTTTATACTTGTTTTCGAAGACGTAGCTCTAATCGTATGCTAATTTGTAGAACAATCTTCCTAATAGAAAATAAAAATTTATTTAAAAAAAAAACTATTTCATGACCCCCCCCCCCCCCCCCCCCCCCCCCCCAAACTGAATCAACGCAGCATTTCTCACTCATCTATTTTTTTTTTGTGGTCACTTCAGAAACATCGATGAGCTAAATTTAAAGAATGCGAGTTAAAATAAAATAGGGTTAGGGGTCATCCATAAATGACGTCACGCTTTTTTTAACGATTTTTACCTCCCCCCCCTCTCCTCCGTCACACGTCGTCACGAAAAACCAGACCCCCCCCCTAAAATGACGTCACACCTCAACCTACAACCCCACCCTCCCCCCCCCCCCTCAAAATTTGCAGTTGAATTTTTTTTAAAACATGGATATTTTTCTAAAATCTTGTCTAAAACTGTTACAATTTATTAAAACAATTATCTAAACGCGAAATAACGTCTAAATTCGTTTTCTAACATAGCTTTTTTATAATGCAAAAGTGTGACGTCGCAACATCTGAACCCCCCCCCCCCCTCACCCTTATCACACATCGTCACAAAATTACGGACCCCCCCCCCCCTCCCCCCTACGAGTGTGACGTCATTTATGGATGACCCTTAGTGTCCATGGCAGCGATGGTAGTGGTGCCGCCAGTGACAGTGTGAGACGCTAGTTTAGAGTCAGTCATTCTGTGACGCTAGCTGAGTCAGTCATTCTGTGACGCTAGCTTAGAGTCAGTCATTCTGTGACGCTAGCTGAGTCAGTCATTCTGTGACGCTAGCTTAGAGTCAGTCATTCTGTGACGCTAGCTGAGTCAGTCATTCTGTGACGCTAGCTTAGAGTCAGTCAAGCTCAGTCAGCAATTCTGTGATGCATGTAAAGTATTTTTCAGCTGCCGATGACGCAATATGTTAACCTGACGTAGTGTTATAATGTTATGGTCTAAAGACAGTTTTTCACGTCATGCAAGGGGGCACATATGTCCCCGGGCGCCGACCTAGGGGGCGCCCAAAATGGGTTGTAAAAAACAAATTAAAATGTCATTTTAGCTGCACTTTTGCATTTATACATAGTTTGAGGGGGGGGGGTGCAAATCGAAAGAGGGGGGGGGGGGTGCAAATCGAAAGTTTGAGGGGGGGGGGGGGGTGGGTGCAAATCGAAAGTATGAAAATTTGCTCCCGAGGGGGGCGCCAAAATTGAAAGTTTGTCCCCGGGCGCCGGGAAGGGTCGCTACGCCTCTGCCCTAAAGACCCATACCCTAACCTTAGCATAACCATCAGGGTTTATTTTCAGATATTTTTCTCCGGGGGTGGGGGAGCACTTGAAAGTTCCTTAGCCTAACATTGACAACAACATGAAAAAAGCCCTATCAAGTATATCTGCCCTATCGCTATTCTTACAATATCCGCATCCTCTACACACCGAAGAAAGGTGTGTACAACACACGCCCGACAGAAAACATGATGCACAAGTTACACATAACACAGGTAGTGGGATGTGTACTATTTAAAAAACACGGCAAAACAGAATATGGTAAACTTAGATTTGGGTTTTTCCTTATACCCGAGAATTAAACGAAACATTTAAATTTAGTTTCCTTACAACTGGACAATAAAGTGCTAACCCTTGCATCATTGCATCCCCAAATTTAACTTAGGGTTTATTTTGTTGGAAAATACTGTCGTTTCTTAACCTCGACCCTAAATTAAAAAAAACAAAACATTTCGGTGACTTGTTGTTTTTGTGAAAACTGTCATATAAGGACGATTCAAGGAACGCCATGCTGCATCGCGAGTGTCTTAGATTCTTCGTGGCACAGTTCTCCTTTCAGATCCGCTTTTTGTTGTTGCCCTATTTTTTCCCGCCCTGCGATTGCGTGGAGCGAGGCTTTGTACGTAGGCCGAGCAGCATCATTTCAGGGGGCCGGAAAATGACATGGCCTAGTTTGCACCGCACCGCAGTGGGGTTAATTTCATCAGCTAGTCTTCTTATTAGCATTTATTAATTACTGTTTTTTTGCGTGGAAGAAGACTGGTGGAAGGGGTAAAAATTACCCGACGAAAAAACAAAAGAAGTGAATAAGAGGACTGATT